CGTGGCAAGCAGGAGCTTTTCAACGCTCCTGATGGAGTACGACATTGACGTCTCCCTCCCTGACGTCCGCGTTTGACGAGCTCCCTCCCCATGCTCATCTGTGTCCCCAAGTATGGCGACACCGTGCCCGCCAAGGCTCGTCACGCCGGACGAGGGGTTCAACTCGCCAAAGATCTTGGCCCGCGCCTCGTCGTACCGCTTCTGCTTCTCCTCGCGCTCGCGCTGCTGCCGTGCGCGGATCTCCTCGGGCGTCGGCTGGACGGCCTTTGCCCTGCCGCCCGCCTCGTCGTCGTCGTCGTCGTCGTCGTCGTCGCGGACCGAGAGCTGCGAGATGGCGCCCGTGACGGGGTCGACGCGGCGGGCCACGGTTGGCGGGGGCTTGCGGCTGAGGACCTTGACCTGGGGTTTGAAGGTCGAGGCGAGGGGCACGTTGGACGTGGCCTCGACGAAGTGGAACGTTTCGCGGGTGTCGCTGGTGATTTGGATCTGTGTCAGCAGTCGTCGTCTTATGGAAGAGAAGGGGAGAAGAAACCCCCCAGCCTGTCACAAGGAGGGGGCATCATTCGACGTACGCTGATTCCCAGAGCTTGCGGTTCGTCTCTGCGTGCTGTGCTCGTCGCTCGGCCTTGGTCATTGGTGCCGGCGGCGGGGCTTCTTGCGTAGGCTGGGCTTCTTGCTTGTCGGCCTGGGTCTCCCAGTCGTCTTCCCATGCGTCGGGGACGGCATTTCTGCTGCTCCCCATCGTGGGCGTCTGCCGTGTCGGTTGTTGAATGTGTGGTGTGGGCGGTGGGAACGATGACAGCCGTCAGGTCTTGCTCCTTGGGTGGGAGAAGGAGAAATGGGTCTGGCGATGCAGTTTGAAATGCACAGGCAAGAGGATGGCCCAACTGCGAACGAGGTCTAGGTGGGCAAGTCGAGAGGTTTGGGCAGGACAGTGGGGTTGCTGCAAAAATGTTGAAGGGTAGATGACACTTTCGTCGTCAGAGGCGTGAGGTGAGCTGCGAGGTTCATTGCGGGCAGTGACCTAAAAACTGTACCGTCGGGTACTTGGCTGCGCCGACACTTTGGTCCAGAGGCAAAGTCACTGTAAGTCGCGGCCTCTATCACTGGACACAGCAAATGCCTACCTACCCAGGTACCTGGCTACCTTAGGTAGGTACCTAAGGTTAAGGTACTACCTGGGTAGGTACCTGGAGGTAGGTCCTCAGGGTCTCATGGTGGGGCAGCTCGTCCTGACAGAATGAACGTCGTCTTTCCTATAATAATACTTCTAACCAACATCGTGGGATTCTTCACTCCGTGCTCCCAAGCTACAATGACTTGCTTGTGACGCTTGGCACAACAAAACCATGCCCTCAAGAACTGATGTTAAGAGCCACCAGAAATATCCAGCTGTAGCCCCTAAAGCAGCCGGTTGCACAACCAGCACGATCTCGATGCAACACCCTCATCTTGCCACAACCGAATTGCAACTTCCAAGAACCGTCTCCGAAGCGAACTTGGCGCCTTATGCCAGGTCCCGGGTATGTTGCAGGTGTCCCGACGGTCCGCCAGATGTACAGCCCGATTTGCATGTCTGGTAATAAATGCCCACGCCCACCTAGGCTCGCGTCTCATGTACTATGTATGCAACATGCCAGATAGAACCCCCTCCCCCCCCGCCGCCCCCTGCGTGGGAGCAATATAGAGAAGGTTGCCAGCCACTGTGCGTGTCGGGCATACTCCAGCCTCATCCGGTTCCCGGACACGACGCGCGCTCGTTTTGGTAAGTCGGGCCTACGAAATTTGACTCCGTCGAGTCGCACATGCATCGTGGCGCGCGGCGTTCGTCAACGACACGACGACACCTTGTTCACGGCGGCAGCTACAGGTTCAATCAGTCATGGTATCGGGCTCCCGACCACAAGCAACGCAGCGATGACTGACGCAAGGACGTAAACCGATCCATCTGCTTCGATTCAGTTGTCTGACTGATCCTCCCTGCAGTCATGGCCGCAGTGGCAATGTAACCCGCTCGGGCGGCCGTGCCAGCGCCGGACATCAATTAACGACAATTCCATCAGTGAAGTCGAAGCGAGGCCGTACGAGTATCGTGGCCTCTTACGACGATTGAATGGCGGATGCTTGTGATGCAGCTTAGGCGGACAGGTCTTGAGGGGGCTGACCTCAGCTCTTCCTCCCCCCTTGTAACCATCAATAATACCCTGTCGTGGTCAGCTGGAGGTCAAGACGAATCCATGTCGCCCAATAGGCCTGGGGTCTTGGGGTGGTGCCAGGGCTCGCCACGCGGCGGATGCGCCGCCTTACCCTAACGGGGCTCTGGATAGTCGGACGAGCGCTACGAGGAGTCGACTGCAAGGGCTCAGTGGCAGTCGTGGGCTGAAATGCAAGTGGCGGTCATTTTACGAGGTACTTGGCCCGTCGAGTCGGGAAAGAGAAAATGGACAGGCCTGAGACGTCTTGGATCCAATGGTGCAGTGTCTTGCCGTAGCAGCTCGTAACAGAGGAAATCGATAGGCATGCTAGATAGCCTGTCAGACGGCAGCGTCCGGGGGGGGGAGGTCAAGTGGGAGATATATCGATTGCTGTCGTCACCTGTGTCCGGGAAGCTGCCAAACATATCAGTTCAATACGATAGGGGTTGATCGCTGAGCGGCTAGCAGGCACGGAGCTCGTAGTAAGTGATATGGTTAGATGTACCAAAGTGAAGGCCCAGCGTACCTATATAATTGAGAGTTCGTGTCGAGACTCGACCGATATGGCTCTCACAATTGCTGTCCACGGGTCGAAGCAAGCAGACCAA